CTGTCGACCCTTAGCCGCTCAGTAGCAGTCGAACGTGATTGGCTCTTACTTTTAGAACCAACCAATCAACGCAGTGTTGATAAGACGAACTCAACAGTTGTATCTGCTGAACATGGCCATTTGTAGCGTCAAATGGACCGCAGCCTATATGGCTGCGTTCCTTTTGACGCTTTCAGCGCTGAAAGCGTCGCTCCATCTCTATTTGATATTCAATGTGCAACGGAGATAGAATAATGCTTACAGCGCTGAAAGCATCAAAAGGAACGCAGCCAATGAATACCGGCTTAAGCACAGCCGCCGCGCGCCGCCGTCGATGCGTTTACGAACGCGCGATCGAGACGCGACTCAATGGACACGGGCTGCCTGTCAAATATACGAGTATTGAGTATTCACGCGACGCTCATTTCAAGTGCGCTCGGCAGCGTTTTGAGGGGGATGGTGCGATGTCGCGCCCGACTACGGCGACTACATTAACGCGCGTGAACCGCATCGGGCTTCCACGAGGACCGCCGAGCAGAACCGGCAGAACGTAAGTGCGTGTGGCCGCTCTTCGTTTGCAATGCACGTAACGCGCGCTCGTGCGTGTTTCTCCTTTTCCATTTTTTTTTCCCACGGATTTCCCGCGGGACGCGGATGCGAGGAGTCCCCCGGACGTACGTCGCCGCGACGTCGTAACGCACTTTACGCACTCCCAACCGCGTCGTTAAGCGCTCCCACCGTTTCCCGACCGCTCGATATCGCGTCTGCCTGACCGCGTAAAGGAACTCCGATTAATCAGTCATGCCACAGATGAGATCTCGCATTAGTCGCATTACTTTCTGGCTGTTAAATTTGCGTCATACAACGCCACGGGAGAGCTCGTAACGCCTGCGAGGATTACCGCGCGTAGTCATCGGGGATTGGATCTAAGAATTGACAGTATGTTGCAAAAAAAAAAAAAAATAACAGTGTTTGTTGAGTGTATGCGTCATATGTATATTCGCGTTGATAAAAGTTAAAAAAATTAATCTATTTTGCGTAACGCGATTAACATAAGTTATTGAATGTCTGGCGTGTAGACCGACGTTAGTCGAGATACAGAATGAATGTACGAGAGTCAATAATTATCCGCATTCTGTTCCTATAATTTAGAATATAATTTTGAACAACAGTAGAGAACATACAATTACGTTATTTTTATTAACATACTCCCCTTGCTTTTCAATGCGCTTGTTTCAGCGTTCTACAAACTTGCATATACCCTGGGAAGAAAATTCGGAAGAAAATGTTTTTGGTTTGTCCATTTAACCATGCGTACTGTTCTTTGTAGCTGATCTAGTGTACACTCGGTTGTATTTAAAAAATAGATAATCTATTTAGAAAATAGATATTTTTGAAGTTTGGGAAAAGCGAGATAGAAAGTTTTAGTGCAGTCTAGTGCAACGACACAAAGAACAGGCCTAATATATGCCCAAATACTGCTGTTCACACTGTTCAATGCTACATACAGTCCAGATCTCGCTTCTTCAGATTACCATTTGTTTGGTCCACTTAAAGATTCCTTAAGAGGTCGTCGATTTGCTACAGACTAACAAGAAGTAGTTCATACATGGCTGAGGAACAAATCAAAAACATTTTATTTTTTCGTGGGTATATGTAAGCTTGTAGAACGCTGGAACAAGTGCATTAAATAACAGGGGGACTATGTTAAAAAATGATGTATTTTTATGTTTTCTATAATATATTACTGTTCTAATAAATTATAGAAATGGAATACAGATAATTATTGACTTACCCTCGTACTTCATACGTGACAATTTTTTCAAACGTAAATCCAAGATATTTTCATTGTCTTTAGAGATCATAGAGATCAATAACATTTTTTTATAATAATTCTCTCATGTCGTTAAAAGTAAAAATATAAATGAGAAAAAAAACTAACATACTATCTTTTTCAATTTAATTTTATTAATTATTTATTAGTCTCTTTTTTCTGCATTATATATGACGAGCAGATGAACTCAGAATCTCAATGGCAGCGTTGTATATTACTGCGATGAAAGATGCCAATTCTTAAGGAGCTCTGCTTCTGTTGAAGTGGTTCTGGTTCAAGAGACCTGCTAAAGCACAATGAGAGCCATTGTATCAATCGTGCTGATCACACTGCTGTGTGGCATAAGCTTAGCCCCTATCAATGCTATTAGGAGATGTGCCAGTAGGAAGAAAAATGTTGAAAGTCTTTCTTCGAAGCAGATTTCAGCAGGCGTACCTGAGGACACATCCAATGACCACAATGTAGGTCGTGCAATAAAATAAATTTGTAATAAGCTAATGTGTTTTTTTGAACAAAATTACAATTCTGGAATTGTATTTTGCAAAGTTTATTGTTAATAGATAAAAGAGCTATCATACTATTTTAGTTGTAAACAATACGCTTACATTAACTGCTAATATTTATAACAAAATATTTGTCTTTCAGATAAATGAAGATATCAAATTTGAGATATGTAATAATTTCTGTCATGCCTTATGGCAAGAAGATAAAACGGCAAATGGCACTGAAATAACTATTTTGTCTCAAGGTATATATCGTATAGAAGTTTATTATAAATATATAAATGCTTATTCATAAATACTATTAATTATAATGTTACATTATTGCTTGATGTGGACTAGGTTGTTGGAAACAGTCTGGTGAACAAAAATGTGAAAATACAGAATGCGTTGCACTCCAGAGATCTACAAAAGCCTTGAACAATACAAAATTTTGTTGCTGTCATGGAGATTTTTGTAATCTCAATATTACAAGCTCCAATCTTGCCGATTCGGATAATAAGATATTTAATCCTCTTTCTTCACAAAAAAGTCAGCCAAGTAAGATAGCAGCAGTATATTAATAGCAATTAATTATCACAGATAAAATAAATTATATTATTTTTGTTTTTAGAGTTTTATATTTTATAGAAGTAATAGAACCAAAAAATATATTTTCATTTTCTAATATTTTCCAGCTACAGAATATCTTGAACAGTCAAACTCTGAACGATGGATTCTTATTATAGTAATCGTCATAGCGTGTACATTGCTAGTAATATGTACTATAGTGATGATTATATACAGAACGTATCACAACAATATTTTACTAAGATTAGGAAAGCCATTATCTTATAACGATCAGTTCATGGATAGCACAGCATTAAGAACTGGTACTTATACAGTTGACCACTTGAAACTTGCAAATATTGTAGGTATGTACTTACTAAGCATTCAATGAACTCAAGGATCTTTATCTATTAAATATTGTAATTGGTATAAATGCTCAAATTTATTTATTATAATTATAATCATATTATAATTGCAGGTCAAGGACGATATGGATCAGTTTGGCAGGGCAGTATGGGAGATCAAGATGTTGCAGTTAAAATATATCCATCGCACTACCGCAATTATTTTCAGAATGAAAGGGATACTTACTGTCTACCTTTTATGGAGCATCCATCGTTATTAAGTTATTATGGTTAGCAATCTTTTTTATTGAACTTAGAATGAATTATACTAAAAGTAACAATAATATGAAAAGATTTTCTTTTTTAATATTTGAATGTTTAATATCAGAATATAAAGTTCAATTTATATTCTCGTATTAGGTGTGGACGAAAGAATAAGCATGGAAGATAGTATTGAATACCTTTTGGTACTCAGTTTTGCTCCTGGTGGTAGTTTAACAGAATTCTTACGAGGGCACACTATTGACTGGAATACATTCTGCAAAATGAGTCTTTCTGTAGTTAAAGGACTTGCTTATTTACATACGGATATACGCAAAGGTGGTACGTATTACACTACTTCTTCTCAGAAAGGATAAAAATATTTAAAACATTTTTTATTTATTACTGTTTTTCATTAAATTATAATTTATATATAAATTATAATGAGACATTCGAGTATTAATATTTATATAAATATTGATTTCTAGACAAGTTCAAGCCATGCATTGCACATAGGGATATAAATTCAAGGAATATATTAATTAAAGCTGATGGTACTTGCTGTATTTGTGATTTGGGATTGGCAGTTCAAATCTCTGGATCTAAGTATTATGCTAATGGAGAGGAGCAACATGCCGAATTAAAATCAATTAATGACGTGAGCATCTAAATATCTAAGATTATATCTTCTACAATTCAAATCTCTATCAAAACCTGTCACACTAGGTGGGTACTCTGAGATACATGGCGCCAGAAGTGTTGGACGGTGCTGTTAATTTACGCGACTGCGAAAGTTCTTTGAAACAGATAGATGTTTATGCGATGGGTTTAGTTCTTTGGGAACTTGTCACAAGATGTTCCGATATTTATATTCCTGGGTCGGACGTGCCGCAATATAAACAGCCATACGAAAACGAAATAGGTAAGTACATGAAATATTTCTGAAAATCGTAATACATATTCATTGGCACTATTTTGATACTGTTATTAAATTTTATATTTAATTTAATTATAAAATATTTTTATTTACAATTTAGGTCTTCATCCAACTTTCGAACAGATGCAAGTCTTAGTATCGCGTAATAAAGCCAGACCACTTTTAGAAGGTAACTTAGTAGATAGACCAGGAGTGCGCTTGATTAAGGAAACTATAGAAGATTGCTGGGATGCTGATGCTGAAGCTCGTTTAACTGCTTTGTGTATAGAAGAACGACTTTCAGAGCTGCAGTCTCATCGTGGTAATGCATTTACCGATATTTAGCAACTATGATTATTCATATTCTAAAAGACATTTTCTAAAAGAAAAAACATTGTAGTAACAATGCACTTTACCGATGGAAGTCCAATGGTGAATTCTCACTGCACCTTAGTGCCTTCAACGACAAACAGTCTTTATAGTGAGTCCTCGCATCATGATAATGTACATGTTGTTCAACTTGCATTAAATATGATGCAAGATAGTAATACAAACGACAGTGCAATAGCTGAAAACTTAGTTACATTATCACCATCTGACAGCGTTGCTCATGAACACAGTTGTAAGTAATTAATATCAGTATTTATATATGTTATTCATTTTATATTCTTATCTCATTTTTCAACCAACTTCCATAATCTGTTTCAGTCAAAAATTCGAACGAAGTAGCGACATATAATCATACTCAAACGCTTCAGCCGTATCAAGGCAGAAATCCATGTATGGAAAGAAATTTAATGTTACAATCGGATTCGTTGGAAGACTTAGGTTGTAACGGTAACGTTCTCGTCGATAAATCACTAAAGCATGCGTGTAACGATCAATACAAAACTGGTACAGAAGCACAAGGCTTAGTTTCGCACGATTACTTAAGTCAACATACCACTCAATTAACGCAGCTTAGGCCGGCAACGCCTATACCGTATGTTCAAAATGTAATTTCCGACGAAAGTTCATCTTCGTACGGTAAGCGAAAGCAGACGAATATACAGGACACGTCTCTCCAAGAGAGCCCGCGGAAAAAATTATTTGCCTGGCCGAATTTAAAGAAATTGCTCATCAACAAGAAAATGTATCCGTACAGCAGATACCAAATAGATAGGGAAGATTCTAAGTCAAATTTATTATCGAAGCAAAATGTCCAAATTAAAATTGTTGAAACGAACGTAACGATCTCCCCTGGGGGAAAGTATGTAAATGGTATCATTGGTAAGACTTCTACTTCAGCGATGCCGGTAGAGAAGAATGATAAAAATACCGCACAAATGAGGAAGCAAAAGCAGTACGAGAGTGATAACACGACATCTAACGCGCGTCCTTCCACTTTGCCACTTGTAAATTTAAGAAACAAGAAGCGAGAAAATAACCTAAGCAGGCAAGAAAGCATAGATAAATTTAACGAAGTCTTTAACGTGGGTTCCAATGTAAACAACGCACTGAAGGATCCGCATATGAGAATAAAAACGCCCGGTGATTTACCGCCGTCTGTTAGGAAAATTCGCGGTCGTGCACAATCAACGGCGCGATTCTCGCTTTACGACGATCGCATGATGTGCAATATACTGAACGAGGAGGACGATCAAAGTGACAAAGCCATTTGGAATTCTGTGCCATTTGGTATGGATCTCGGTGATAGTGATGGGAAACATTCACCAACGAAACTTGGTACCAAAAATGTTACGTGCTTCTAATCAGATATCGATGTATTTGTAAAGTCTTTATGTCTATAATATAGTCAGAAAAGAATGAATACTGTAAGGTACCTTCCTTCAGCTTCAATTTTATGTACAGAATTTGTGTATAAGAATAAGTAAGATTTTATACTCGATGCAAAATATATTACTACGATATAGACATTAAATTTTAACAATTTAATCGATGAAATTTAAAAGAAATAGGAACATACTCGAAAGCTCGTGCTACTCGATTTATTTGTCACGTTATATTGATAGCGTACTTTGTGCGTAATGGATGCTTTTGACGAAGTAGATGATTGGGTATGACAAGTGCACATAACAATTATAAGATAGAAAATAGAAAATCAAATTGACGTAATCTATATGCGCCGGATTCTGTGAAATAAGTTTATTCATCATAAAATTGCTTTCATATATATGATATTTGTGAATTATCTTCTTTATATTCTCAATGTTCTTTTCGATTTAATAGAATTAATGAATTTCCAGTGTAATTAAATAAACATGGACAATCAATATTAACATTTACATCACATTATAAGATATTGTTAACATCTCGATGTATAATTGTCTTTTATTTTTTTCCACAGCGTTTAAAAGACATAATCTCTGTGTAATGTTAAACAATCTCTTAAAATGTCAATACTTATAGAATATTCTCCATCTGATATTATTAGCTCAAAGACTTTGTGAAATCATGGACGAAAGTACGTAAAGTTAATTCTTTTGTTATCGATTTTATATGCTTTCTCTTCACTGAGAGGAGAGACTGTATTTACTTCTTCATACATATTATAAAGTATAATTTAAGTTTTTAAACCCATTGTGCAACAAGTTTGTTCATTAATATGCAACGATATTTATCAGATATATATAAATCTACAATTAATACAAAGCCATGGATATTAATATAGGTGATTGTAATTATAAAGTAGAAATAGTAAAAAGATATATTTGAGCACAAAGTATAATTGTATCGGGTTATATGAAAATTATTTTTCCTGATCCTGTGAGCTCATTGTAAATATCTATAGTATAAAGAAAAAAGATTATTCAAATGCGTTAAACGTACTTGTTATGTTATATTATGTTGAAGATATCGTAAATTCTTATGTTATACATTTTGCGATACTTTATCGTATACGACATATGTTATTATTGACAAAATTAAGATGAATATGATTATGCAATAATGCAATTCATAATAAAGTATGTCTTCTGTCAGCAATTTTTGTTCTTTTATTTGAAACTATGCCAATATTTATATACTAATGGAATGTTTATGAGATAAATTAGAACAATTTTTCTGAAGAGGTTTTAGGTCTTAAAAAAAAATTTCTTAACGTACATTTGTAAAATTATGAACTTTCTACACTTTTATAAATTCTTGTACATACAAACATCTTTCATAAAAGTTTAATGTTTATTTTATTCAATAAAATATATTTTTTTTATCCGTTATTAAATGTTCTTAATTTTTTTTTTTCATTAAAAATTCGTAATGTGTTTCTTAACATTTCGATATAAATAAAGAATTAAAGTAATGTAGAAAATTATAAATAATTATGATTTAATATACAATTTATGTAATTAATAGCATAATTCATTTCGAATTATGCGTAATTTATATATATAAAAAGTAGGTTTTTTATTTAATCAAATACATGTCTTTGATACGTGACGTCATAAAAACCTACTTCGGGACTTCGGGTAGCATGATCGCGGTTGATGGTTGATCGCGGTGATCGGCAGGGCTGGACGCTGTGGGTGTCTCACGTGGAATCGTACCAAATTAATTTTCTCACAAGGAAGATTTCATCTGTAAAAAGTGTTTGTTTTTAAAATAAATTGCTAATCATGACTATCGTGACTCTTTTAAGCCGCAACGTCAATTTGCATCAGCTGTCGAAGCTGCGACCGTGTATTTATGGAGTAAGATTCTTAACCTCTTCATATTCTTAGATCGTGAATTTTAATCGTTTTTGCATAACGTCAACGACGCGGAAATTTCAGTATGATTTACTCTATCGTGTAATTTCTCTAGCAGAATGTGCGATTTTTGGCATCGCACGCCAAATTCGCCGAGCACAAACCGTTGGAGAAGCTTAGGAACATCGGTATATCGGCTCACATCGATTCCGGAAAAACTACGTTAACCGAACGTATCCTGTTTTACACTGGTAGAATATCGGAGATGCACGAGGTAGGGCTAAAATTTAATCATTACACATGTGTCTTTGTGGGCAAGCTATGATAAAAAGTATTTTCATAAAGTAGATCAGAAATATAACTTCTTTTCAATGTCAGGTAAAAGGAAAAGATAATGTGGGTGCAACTATGGACAGCATGGAATTGGAAAGGCAAAGAGGCATCACCATTCAGTCCGCTGCTACATATACATTATGGAAGGATCATAATATCAATATCATTGATACACCAGGACACGTGGATTTTACGGTGGAAGTCGAAAGAGCTCTGCGAGTCTTGGACGGTGCAATCCTCGTCCTCTGCGCCGTAGGTGGCGTCCAGTCACAGACACTGACTGTGAATCGACAGATGAAGAGATACAACGTACCTTGCTTAGCGTTTATCAATAAGCTGGATAGAATGGGCGCGAATCCAAAGAGAGTCCTGCAGCAGATGAGGAGCAAACTCCATCACAATGCTGCATTCATACAGTTACCGATTGGCCTGGAAAGTAATACAAAGGGCATAATTGATTTAATTGCCCAGAAGGCCATGTATTTTGAAGGGAATTTTGGGGAAAATATTAGGGAAGATGAAATTCCAAAGGATATGAATGCAGGTATTCGCATAAAATAATAATTCATATTGGCACATTTGCATTCTTAAGTTTTTAATTTATAAAGTTACTAAATTTGCATCATGTTGATTAGAGGCAAATGAAAGGAGGCAAGAATTAATCGAGCACTTAAGCAATGCAGACGATACATTTGGTGAATTGTATTTAAACGATACAAAAATAACTGAGAAAGATATTATGGATGCCATACGTAGGAGTTGTTTGAAAAGAAAGTTTACACCTGTGCTGGTTGGTACTGCGTTAAAGAATAAGGGGGTTCAGCCGTTATTAGATGCGGTAATAAACTACTTACCAAATCCAGGAGAAGTCCAGAATTATGCTCTTGAAGAAAAATCTGAGTAAGCTTTTTGTATCGATATGATATTTTGTTTGATAAATACCAATATATATCTGAAAACAAATTTTATTTGACTTTAGCGACGGCGAATCTATTAAAGTTTTACTGGACCCTAGTCGTGATGACAAAAAACCTTTTGTTGGATTGGCTTTTAAGTTGGAGGCTGGCAGATTCGGTCAATTAACATATTTCCGTTGTTACCAAGGAATGTTAAGGAAATCAGAAAATTTATATAACACAAGAACACGAAAGAAGGTAATTATATATGTATATATGCAATACTTTCTTTATAATTTACTATTGTAAAGTATTTAAAAAAATGCCATGTTAATTATTAATTATACATATTTCAGGTACGAGCTCAAAAATTAGTTCGACTTCATTCAGATGAAATGGAAGATGTTACAGAAGTTTATGCGGGAGATATTTTTGCTTTATTCGGCGTAGATTGTGCATCTGGCGATACTTTTGTCAGAGATTCTAAACTGGATTTGTCGATGGAATCAATGTATGTTCCCGATCCTGTGGTATCTATGTCTGTACAAACAAAGAATTCAAAAGATCGAGATAATTTCGCTAAAGGTATTGGTCGATTTACCAAGGAAGATCCAACCTTGCGTTTCCACTATGACACAGATAATAAGGTAACATTTTTTATATCACTTTTTGCTTCAAATATCTTTGAAGAAGAATCTTTGAATTAGTTCAAATATTTTTGAGATTTGTATTTTTTAACTTGTCCGCGCACGAATGTAGGAAACGGGCTAACTAAAAATCAAGCGCGGTAAATGATGCGCGAAAGTTTTATTTATATTTTTATTTTACATATTTTCCAACCTTTGACTGCGCGCCGATTAGATTTGTCAGACTTGAAACACAGCTCCGGTTGGAGTAGTAAAATCCCCCACCCTCTACACCTCGATTCGATTTAATTTTTGATGCTGCTTGCATCTAAATAACTAAAGAAATCATTGCGAAAAATATTACCTCAGCCAGGGTTTAAACCTGGAACTTCCTTCATTCCGTGAAGGTGTCGTACCAATTCGGCTACCACTGAGGAATGTGGTAATATTTATTGCAATAACCTATTATTAGTTGTAATATTACGCGTACTATTATCTAGTCGGCGCACAGTCAAAGATTGGAAAATATGTAAAATAAAAATATAAATAAAACTTTCGCGTATTATTTACCGCGCTTGGTTCTTAGTTAGCCCGTTCTCTATATTCGTGCGGATTTCCATTGGAACCTATACTTCGAATTTTTAACTTGTCTTTTTCAGGAGAGCATAATTTCTGGTATGGGCGAATTGCATTTGGAAATTTACTCGCAAAGATTAGAACGCGAATATAATTGCCCGATTATTCTTGGGAAGCCAAAAGTTTCTTTCCGCGAGACCTTATGTGAACCTTGTGAATTTGACTATCTTCATAAAAAACAATCTGGTGGTGCTGGCCAGTACGCTCGCGTGATTGGAATTATGGAGGTATGATATAAGTGGTTTTAGATTTAGATAGATAGATTTTTATCATTAATATTTATTGACATTGCATATCGCATTCTGTTTTTTTTTATTGTCCTCGTGCTTTATTTGCTAAGAAAAATGTGTGTTTTAGCCCTTGCCACCTGAGAGAAATACAAACATTGAATTTTCGGATGAAACTATCGGAACCAATGTCCCGAAACAATACATTCCGGGTGTAGAGAAAGGCTTCAGAGCGATGTGTAATAAAGGTTTGCTCAGTGGTCACAAAATCGCTGGAGTTAAATTTAGGATACTCGATGGTATGCACCATTGTGTCGATTCTTCGGAATTTTCCTTCTTCCAAGCCGCACAAGGTGCTGTTAGGGATGTTTTTGAAGCTGGTAGCTGGCGAATTTTGGAGCCGATTATGTTGGTCGAAATAGTGGGCCCGCAGGAATTTCAGGTGGAGTAACATTGCCTATATAGCTCATTTTGTATTTATATAATTTACCACTTTTCATTAGACAGTTTTTTTACATGTCTGTTTATAGGGTCTGGTATTGGGACAAATCAACAGGAGAAAAGGAATCATAAGCTCAACGGAAGTGATAGACGAATGGTTCACAATCATTGCAGAGGTGCCACTTAACGAGATGTTCGGTTACACCGGTGAACTGAGATCAACTACGCAAGGTAAAGGGGAGTTTACCATGGAGTACGCAAGGTACAGCCCTTGCTTAGCGGAAGTGCAAGAACAACTAATTAGACAATATCAAGAATCACAGGGAATAGTGATTGAAAAATCTCAAAAATCGAAAAATTAACTGTAAAACGTGAAATAAATATTTCTTGTTTTCTTAGTAAAATTGCGCAATATTATCATGAATGCTGTAAGTGCATTATGACAATATACGCATTGTTTATACCTAGTATATTTAACACACTCGACGTAAACCGATAAGTAATTACTAGTAATAGTAATTAATGATTAACAGTAAATGGACGAATGCGCAAAATTCATATATTTAACGTGTACAAATGTATCGAATGAGTTGTAAATATTAGTCCATGTCCGAAATGTGTGATATAAAATATAAAATAAATATATAGAAAATAATTTCTATCTGTGCGCACATGTATGGCGAAAAATGTTATAATTTATTTTCTATCTCCCTTCAGGTAACATTTATTTTTAACATCAGTCACCGATATACATAATTTTCATACTCTCCAGATTGGAACTACAAAAACAGACAAGATGATGACTTGTAATTTTCTTTTAGATTATTCATATATACAACGATGTATTTTCTGAGATTTTCCATGACTTGTTGCAATATGCAAATGATTAAGTTGATCAATTTCTACTTTCGTCCTTTTTTTCAAAGATTTATATATTTAAATAATAGAATTCTATCGTCGGCAATTCTAGTGTTAATTATAATAGTAAAAGAAGTTGTAATCCATTTTTTTATTTATTTTTTTCATTTATTTCGTGTGCTTTTTTCCTAATTATCATCTTTCTTCCGTGCAGTGTTTGGTTAAAGTGCGTATTTAGAAGTGCGAAAAAAACAAATTACGCGGTGCAAAGAAGGATTATGAAAATTGGGAATTAGAGATTAGAGTTCGACCAATCGGGGCAGAGCTCGACATTTTAATTAGCCGAAATCTAATCCTAATCCCCAATTCGCGATCCTCGACTCTCGATTGGCTAATGTCCATTTCTACCAATGCAGATTAAAGGCCATTGCACGTAACAAAGTTTTAGTTATAATCGTAAGGTCGTAAGAAAATAGACCAATCACAGTCGATTAGTCTCCTTGAGCTCGAAGAATAATCGAGTGTGATTGGTCTATTTTCTTACGGCCTTACGATTATGACTAAAACTTTGTTACGTGCAATGGCCTTAATTCCTATTATTTCTTCTTAATTTTTGAAATTAGAAAAAAATAAGAAGAAGAAAATGAGATTAAAGTTTATCCGCATTGGTAGAAATAGACGTGAACCAGGCTTAAGCCCGTGGACGACGCTCCCTCGGTTGTCATCAGGTTGTCATGACAACCGGCGCCTCCGCCCGTCCAGGTCTCCAGGTAGCGCGGCGGTCGCGCGACAGAACGCGTCGCGAAACGCGACGCCGTCCGTCGGCCGTTCGTGTCCGTGACGTCCGTGTGTGCCGCCTGTGCCGGGATTTTGGTGCGCGCGGCGGCGCGATCGGCGATCAGTAGCGGCACTGACATACGGGGGAGTGGTCGACGCGCGTCGTACCCGCGTTACCCCTCTATCTCGCGTTCCCGTAGCACGAGCGGATCGGAGCGCGCGTCGCGCGCGGGCACTACGTCAGGGAGGCCGCCGTCGCGTCGCCGTTTCCGCCTGTCCGGTCGCGGTCGCCGCGCGATCGCCGGGGGGCCGCATTGCACGCGGACCGCGCCGCGTGTTGTGCCCCGTTGCCCGAAAAATGTAATATGGCGATGGTTGCGTCGAACATGAGCGGCCACATACAGAAGCAGCTCACCAGGAGCCTCGAGCGGATCCTGGAGGAGGCGCACCTGAGCGGCGAGCTCAAGCTGAGCGGCCGGAAGCTCAAAGACTTCCCGAAGGTCGGCAAGGCCGGCACGGCCAAGTACAATCTGCAGGACACCGTGATCGCCGGTGAGTCCTTTTTTTTCCTCCTAGGATTTTCCGGAGCTGTCTTTTCCTTCCTTCCTTTTGCTCCCTTTTTTTTGTCAAGGGTGGAAACGCGCTCGAGACGCGAGAAGCAGAGGGATTGCCTGGAGCTGAAACTCCATTTGTTGCGTTTCGTAAAATTTATTATGTTTGTTAACGCCGTTTGTTGGCGTCTCTCTTTGCGATGTCGCGTCGCCACCGCGCGTCTTATGTCACAGCAAACACGCGGGTGTCAGCGCCCGGCGCGGTTGACGCGTCATGTTGATGCACGCGCATCGTAGCTCCGATATCCTCGATACCCGCGTGAACGTTCCGTGAGTGGCGCGTTATGCCCCGAAGGGGCAGAGAGATACAGTTCAAGTTCTACGAGCACTCTCTTGCTATTTTTATAAATGTCTGTCTAAATATAATCTATCTATTTTTGGTAAACATATGAGTTCGGTAAACATATACGAGTGTTTTAGAAAAATATTGATATTTTCGTTGTTTCTAGTAACGCTTACATAAAAATCTATTTTTTATAAATATACGAGTTGGGTCTTAAATATACCTACTTCGAAAAATGAATGTTTTAGAAAAATACTGATACTTTTGTCATTTCTAATAACATAAAAAACTATATATAATCTATTTATTTCTGGTAAATATATCTGAAAACGTATTTTGATAAAAATACGAGTATTTTAGAAAAATACCGATATTTTCGTTATTTCTAGTAATGCTTACATAAAAATCTACCTGTTTTTGGTAAATATATACTTGAAAATCTATGTTCAGTAAAAATACAAGTGTTTAGAAAAACATCGATTTGTTTATTTCTGGTGATGCTCAAATGTGTGCCCTCGAATGAGGTTGCTCGTTAACTCGGTGGATTTGGAGCAGCGTCATACGCAAATGAGAATCGGGTTGGCGAACGTTTTTTTGCGATTTGCAAAGCGTCATGGGCATTACTATTCATAATGCTGAACCGTGTATTTCCAGTTCTTACGTCTACAATATGATTAATGCATGTTAGATTAGGAACCACCCACCATTATCTTATCATAGATGAAATTTAATCGGTCAAAAACCGAGGATGTGACTATTATAAACAAATTTTTTTTTCCTATTCTCAGCAATACTCGATCGATATTTAGTTTCAAAATTCCTTTAAAGATTTCTTCTTTAAAGTCTTGATATTAATTCAAGTTAAAAATTTGTAATATCCACTTAACGCTAATATCTTTATCATGATCTTAATTAGAAATATTTTCTCTCATATAGAAATATTCTCCAAATTTATTGTTATAGAATAATTATACGCATAAGGGAGAATTATTTCTTGTTGGCGAATACACGTCGCGTCTCGAGAACGCTGTTAATTCCCTTGGATTATCCAAGAAGCGAATACATAGTACCGTTTGTGCCAAGTGCAATGACCAAAGGAACCTTTAAGCATTACCTAACACGCACGTGCACCTGCCAAGTTCGACATCTGGCGTGCATTACTCATCGGTAATTGCAACCGATTGCACGGCTTTGTAGCAAATATAAGACTGGCGGATTTATTAAACATTCCGCTAAGCACTCGTACGGCGTTTTGAAAACACATTAACGAATTTGATTCGCTTCCTCATTGAATTTATGGTGCCAGCTGATATCGATTCTTTGAGCATTACTTCGTTTTTAATGCGATCCTGATGCATAATTGTTATATTTTTATTGTTTCGCGATTGCAGACAGCTAAATCTGAGCTGTTAATAGGTTAATAATGGAATCACTTTGATGAAAAATAAGATAGCTAATATATGTAAGTATAATAATAGCTAATATATAAGTAGCATTACAATTTATGTTAATAGATTACGAAGAGACTCTATTTTTTACGCGTCAGCTCTATTTTATTCTCTTTGTAAGAAATAAGCTCACAAAATTAACCGCGTATATTATAAAAATACTAAAAAATAATAAATTAAGATAGGTTTCTCATTATATTATTTACGTAATAAAATGTGATAAATATAATGTTTTTATAAATTTAATATCATAGTATTTTTATTTTAAAACAAAGTATGTCAAGAGAAACAAATCTCGCTTAGTTTATTCTCACTCGGCATAATCCCCCGCTGCAGACATTAAAATTCTTTTTTTGACTGCGCTATTTACTCCCGCACGTAAGTACCTCCCTTGGCTTCATGTATATTAAAGACATTCATAAAATTCAACTCGCAGGCCGAAGAGAGTCAAACACGATCTCTGTAAAGTTATTATTAATTCTTTGTATCCCGATTAGCAATGGGAAAAAGAATACTGGAAATTACGAAGTTTAAACAAAATTTACAGCAAGAGAATACAGAATGCACTAGACCCTGACGTATTGTTGTCATACATAAAGAGATATGTCCGTACAGGATGAACACTATATATTAAATGAGCGTGACAAAACAGATCAGAGAAATGTGAGCTCGTGGGATCTCCATATAGCGAGTAATGTAAATAACGTTATAGTATCATATTATACATGCATATAATATGTATACAAATAATTAATAAGATATAATTAGATATAATTATTTTCATGATATCGTCATTAAATGATATTAACACTACGTTTTGTCCGTTTGAAAGTTCAAGTATTAAAAAAGCAATGTTTCATCACGATATTTTATTTCGGCGCGAGTGACGCTAATTTAATGAACTTTGACTAAAAATATAAGATAATTAATACATAACTCTTCAGAAAAATATTAGATACCTATATAAATGGTTTTTAATATAACCACCTTTTTGTAATATTTCTTTTCTATCTTGTTCCACTTTCTGTAATCGTAAAAACACGTCGGCGTGATGCAGAGTTCTCGCGGCGGGTGCGGGAACGACGAGAAACGAGAAACGAGGAAAAAGAAAATCATGCGCCGAAGTTATGCATCCCGTGGGGGTTTATTTCTGTCGCGCCGCATAAACGCCGGTGCGCGGCCATGCAATCGTGTCCGTAACTCTTTCGCGTCGCGCGCACAAAGGACTTTCCGCGTTATAATTTTCGCGCCCGATAGATCGACGTCCTGCTTCTCCTTTTAACATCGGTGGACGGCGGTTCGGCCTGAATGTAAAACGCGGCGTACCGAGCGGCTGGCGTGGCGGCAGCCACGGTGAATCAGCCGCAGGACCGCGCTATCGCGGCGCGCCCAATGCTTCCTGTTGTCGTAATAAGTACACGTCCGACAGCCGATAATTCCAAGAGTAACGAGAATCACGTGCGCGAGCATTAAGAGTTCGTGTCAAGCTTCTCGATACTATCGTCGTTGTCACTTTGACTCGCGAAGTATCGACGAACGCTTTCTGCGTCTTATTATGTTATCGTCCCGCTACTCCATCTCGAGGTGGTATTATTATCCACAATATTATTCCAGACGGTGTCGCGCTGCGTCTGCAACTTTTCTTCAATCAATCTTTATTAACTTCAGCTTATACCAAGAAATGGACTTGGTTTACAAAATAACTCACATAGCTTCCATGCAACCTTAATATTTAATCCTATCTATTCTTCCTTATTCTAGCCTTTTTCTCTTTTCATAATTCATCATTCTATATTTTATCTATAATTTTTTCTTTATTTCTTTTTAATTCTATAAACCAATCTTTGGTAAACTCACAATCCTTTACGCAGTGTCTAATGCTATCCCTATAATATACCTTGTCCGCAAACTACACATATATACGTCTGCAACTTCTTGAAAGATGAAATACGCGAGACTCTCCTGTCCTACGTCGCACTCGAGTCATTTCTTTGGATCAGTGATCCAGTCATAGTCCTAAGAATTTCGTCGAGATAGTTCATTCGAGATAGCATATTCATATATGCGCGTTAATGCATAATCCATACGTGTGTGTAGGACTCCGCAAGAGTGATGTGTGTATCGGACGGTGATCCGAATCGACACGCTGCAACATTGGGGCCGGTAAATTACGGGTTGTTCGCCGGCGTCGGGAAAGAATCTAGCCGATTCTAATTCCGCGGCCAGTAATTCCATTCGCTATTATACGTCTATTAGATTTTACGCCGCTGATTCATAATTCTTAAAGCGGAACGCAGGATATTCGCGGTCTGGTTTCGCCGACGCGGGGCCCCGCGCACTCACGCTTTTTTTTCTTCTTACACATGTACTTGCACGGTATATACACTCGCTCATCCAGTATGACACCTAACGTGTCAGGAATGCGAGATAATAATATTACGCGTGAGATTTTTTTTCTGAATCGTTATCTCCGCGAGTCTCAATTATGGCAGCATATAGCAAACTTACATGGCACGATAATAATTAATCTTACTTTCGTGTAAAAAAAACCCCAAGAGTTTTCCCGTTACAGCAGCCCGCGAACACATTGCCCCATATTTTCACCGCGCAATTATAATTAACGCTAAATGCGGCGCTAGACGAATGATAATTAACCGCGGCAAGAAGCTCGCATTATTTAGCGCACTGACACCCAGGGAAAGTGAAGACACTTTCTTACTGATTTCTTATCCGCGCTTTCTTTGAAAAGCGGTTCGAGCGATAGCTCAAAAGTGATGGCCATTCATATCTTATTTGAGTCGCGTCTCGGTCTAAAATTGGACGTTTGCAGTTCCTATTACAGAAATAACACAACGTACGTCTGCATATATCCCGCCCGTCGGATTCTTCGGCCGGATCGAATAATGGACTTATCGAATTTCGATGACGTTTGTCGGGAGATGGACGGTGAACAGAATCGCGAATTGGCGCCGCGCCGTCCCTGGAGGATGGTTCGACGATAGGGGACCACCGATGCATTCTCCTCCGTTTTACGTTCGTACCTACTTTCCCAATTATTATCGAACTGCCGCTCGTCCACCCGTCTTACGACGAGTCCCGCGACGCCCCGAAGGGGACGTAACTTCATTAACGGGCCCCCAGGTCACTGCAGTTCGCTTGATGAGAGACCTGACAGCTTATTCCCGCATCAGACACTCCCATGAAACATGC